TGTGTTGGGGAATTTCATTTGTCTCATACATGTCTCATACATGGGTCTGAATATAAGATGCTGTAATGCTAGAGAAAACCAGGTCTAAATGCTGTAATATTGGAGAAAACCAGGCCTAAGGATATGAAATGAACAGAAAACTAGGCCTGAGGGGAGGTTGGATAAGGACAGGAGAAGAAACTGGGTGAAAGGACATGAAAAAGGCAGGTTGGTTAAGGACAGGAGAAGAAACTGGGTGAAAGGGCATGGAAAAGTACCTGAAAATCATGTATGAAGCCATTTTTAAAAAGGTACGCATGCGCAAAGAAAGATACGCATGCGCAAAGAAGGTTGCCCCAATTAAAAATGAAATAACGATGCAGGTGTTTCTAATCGTGGCGACAGGCCAAGGAGGAGCAAGAAGAAAAAAGATAACTGTATGAGCGCTAATTGGACAACTAACGATAAGAGAAAGGTATAAGATCTGAGTATTGACCATTGTAAGATTCAGATGACTAGCTACCATCTCACTTTGTTGAATTGCTCAATAAAGTTATTCTTCTGAGACCTGAAACTTCGACTCTGAAAGATTTCTTCTGAGACCTGAACCAGACTTTGAAGAATTGAACCAAAGATCGAGAATTTGCCACAACAATACTTTTAATCCTGTGTGATTTCAGAAGTTAAGTGATCTTAAAATTACAGACTTATAAGGAGTTCTAGAAGTTTACATTTATTACAGTTTTCTGACAATTGTGTGTAGTATATGTGATACCAGGGCAAGTGTCACTGTCTAAAAAACTGTGACACTTGTGGTTGTGTGTTCGGAGCCGCATGTCCAGATCGACACAAAGAGCAAATGTGCACGTAAGCATCTATAAACTGTGTAAAAAATTAAGAGCTACAGTATATACAGATATTGTGTATACATATTTCAATGATAAAATATGATACTGTTTGCTGCCTTAATATATCTTAAAATTAGCCTGATTTTGGAAACCCAGCAGCAATGGAAATAGAAAATTAATGTTTGTCTTGAGAGGCACTTCTGCTTTTCCACACATCTACTCTGCCTTTCTCATGTTAAGACAGAGGAAGTCAGTGTCAGACTCACTGTCACACATGTGTCTCAGAAAGCTGTAGCTCTCTAATCTATGACAACATGAACCTGCTTTCTATCCTTTTATTGGTCCTTTGGTCAGCTTTCAGTAAGTGGATCACATTTCTTTGCTTCAGATTTTGTCTCTATCTACTGTAAGGACAGGTGTTAATACATTTTTTGTTGTGTTTTTGTACAGATTCATCTGATGCATGGTACCGAAATTACCGTACGACAGGTGCACCATCTAATGACTTTGATCTATAGGCTACATGTTTCTATCAGAAAAATATATCAAAATATTTTAAAATACAAGGATAGCAGTCAATATGTTATTATTATTGATTTTTTTTTTGTTGCTGTTTTTGTACAGAGCCGCGGCCGCCTCACACAACAGCTCAACCTCAATTGACAGGTGCATTATCTAAAAATCCTAATCTATTTCATCAGTACACTTTTCTGTCATTATTCTTAATTCTGTTTTCAGCTGATATAATCTGCACAATATTTTATATATTCAGTCAATATTTGATATAGTCAGTCAAAGTTTTTTTTTTTTTGTGCAGTTGAATGTGTATAGCCGCTAGAATGACGGTATGTGAATGTGTGTAAATATGAGAGACCGTGGTAAAAGAAAAGAGTAAAAAGACAAGCGCACTGCAATCTATGGCTGGATCCCAAATGGCACACTCCTAAGGAGTTAATTTTGTGCCATAATTAAACAAACAAATCCAGCATTTTGCAAACAAACTCGATCTGCTTTGCAAAGGAAAACTCGACTCGCAAACAAACAGAAAGCAATGTGCAAGTAGAAAGGTCAATTTGAGCGAAAATGCAGTGGAGTAACACATGTGTTTTGCAAATATAAATAAATGAGCCTAAATAAATAAATACAAACCATACAAACTGCATGCAACCTTTGAACAAATACCAAATCTAGTGCATACAAATGCATATCTGTCTGTTATGATTGTGAGACACTTGGCTTTTTGTGAGATCTCTCGGCTCGATTTTCTCACAAATGTGTCCAGGCAGATTTTCTCACAATCGCAGTTTCACAGTTGGTTACATGAGGAAGTGCAGACCTAAGAGGCGCTGGCCTCGAGTCCGCGAGAGTGTATTTTGGGACAGGCTTAATGAATTCATGCCATCGAAAGTCAAACAGCCACGAAACTCCTCCCCTCATTTATCTGATTGGGCGTTCGCAATGGGTATCTCGTGTGGAGGCCTGGAGGGTGCGAAAGTGCGGGCTTCGCCCAAGTCCGCATCTAGGGCACAAAGGCGGCGCCCACAAACACTTCTGAGCGCTGAAATGTTGAATGGGACACCCTACAGACTCGTACACATGGCAAGCACACGCAATTTGGACACGAGACCGCGAGTCCACATGACGTGTGCCATTTGGGATCCAGCCAATCACCCTGTGTTTGTCGCTTTGGCCCTGTCTCAAATGGCACACTTCATATGCACTTTCGGTCTTGTGGACTTACAATGACTGCCATATGCGTGTGTCTGTTAAGTCCATGAGATTGTAGAATGTCCCAATTTTCATTTTAGTTTTCAGAAGGGTGCTCACGAACGCCCCCTTTACGGTTACTCTGTGCCCTCGATGCGCACTTTGCTGAGCCAGCACTGATGCAGGCAGACAGACGCGCCGTTACATCACCAAAATGCGGACTAGTCGGAAGACCGCGAGTGCTTGAGGTGCCATTTGGGACAGGGCCTTTGTTGGAATCTGCAACAACTGAGCAGCAGTGGTTTCTACAAAACTCTTCTGAGCTGATCAATAAGGAAAAAGTACTTTGTGTCTCTTTTTTATATTTAGGATCATCTTCCGAGCCCAGATGGTACAATACACCATATTACTGGACCACTAGTAGTAAGTCTTGCATTAATTATATTTTCAACTTTAATATTGACAGATAAGCATTGAAGTCAATATAATGTTTTTTAATCTGTACATGTTTCTGTCATTATTCTTTATTCTGTATTTAATTAGTATAATTATATATAATCTGCATAATATTCTATATATTCAGTCAGTATATCATTTTTATAATTTGAATATAATCTGTCAGTCAATAAACTTTTTTACTGAGTTTTTGTTCAGTGTCATTTTATGCATGGTGTATTAGAGGTTACCCATTTGTTCTGAAATTAGTCAAATCTTTACTCAAAGAGAACAAAACCATCCATAACAATTAAAAGGGATCCAATCAACAAGATCCCTGGAGTCCCCACTCTCACTCCTAAGGCTTCAAAACACCAAAACACTCTTTAAAGTGCAAAAAGTGAATTTATTAAACATAAGTTAATAAGGAGCAACAAATTTCAGGAGGGGGAAAAAACAAATAAGAAAACAAAGCTAACTAGTTGAAGGAAATAATTAACCTAGAAATCAGATAACAAAAAAAAAAGATGCAAAAGCTTCCCTTCCTACTTATCATAAACAAGAGAAAACGAATAATAAATTAAAGAGGCACCACCTCCCTACCATGCTCCGATTCAATAAGGATTAGGATGAAGGATAAGACTTAACATGACAAATCATAAAATCATCTGAGCTGGTCAATAATGTAAAGGTATTTTGTGTCTCTTTTTTATATTTAGGATCATCTCCCATTATTTCAACTTTAATATTGACACTATACTGTATGTGTCAGCATAGAAGTCAATTTAATTTTTGCTGCGTTTTTGTTTTGTACAGAGCCGCCTCTCATAACAACTCAACATCCATGGACAGGTGCATTATCTAAAAACCTTAATCTATTTAATCTACAGACTTTTCTGTCATTATTCCTTATTCTGTATTCAGTTAGTACAATTGTATATAATCTGCATATTATTTTATATATTCAGTCAATATATAATTTTTATACATTTTAAAATAATATCTGTCAGTCAATAATTTTTTTTACTGTTTTTTTTCAGTGACATCTGAAGCATGGCGTATTAGAGGTTACCCATCAACACCAGGTGCCTCATATAATGACTTTATTTTCTGATCATAAAATCTTCTGAGCTGATCAATAATGTAAAAGTATTTTGTCTCTTTTTATATTTAGGAGCTTCTTCAAAGCCCTGCGGGTACTGGTACAATAAACCATGTTATTGGGCCACTAGTAAGTGTGGAGATAATAATATTCATATATTATTATCATATATTTGACATTCAGCTGTTCAAAACGTTTCTTTGTTTCATTGCAGCTCAACCCAGCGAAACGAGCACAACGCAGCAGAGACAGAGTAAGTCCACAGATTTGCACTCTTGCACTGATGCATAATTTTGGGTATTAAAGTAAGATGACTTTTATTTACTGTATATATATATATATATATATATATATATATATATATATATATATATATATATATATGTGTGTGTGAAATGAATGAACATTACTAAAGCACCATATTGGTACATCACATGTATGTCTCATTTCTTTCTAATTAGTTATATTTAGTTTCTAAATTTTCCTAATGGTTTAAATGGTCATAATTCAGCTCTTCAAACTGTAAAAATAAAAATAAATAAAACTGTATCTCTCTTTATCTTAATGAAGCTCAAACCCCCTACAGGAGGAGACTGTATTACCAGACGCCAAGTAAGCCAGCAGGTGATGTTTTGATGCATAATTTTGGCTATTAAAGAAAGAACTGTATTTTCTATTGTTCTAGAAAAAAACTACAAGCATTATAAGAATACATTTTACAATAACTCCACAAATACAGCTGGTCTGGTTAATGTTCTGTTATCTTAAAGAATTAATCAATGCAAGTTTTCAGTCTTTTAGTGTCTGCACTAACATTCTTTATATATATGCAGTATAATTTGTTTTATCATTATTATTTTTAACAGTTCATCTTGACTGTCAGTTTAGAACACAGTTTTGAATTAATAAGTATGTTAATGTTATTTCAGATGCCCCAGAGCCCAACATCGCAGTGTATGGGCAGATGCAGGACAGAGAGCATGTGATAGTGATGTGTTCATTTGGCAGGAGGTTCACTAAGAGCTCTTTCCAGCTGTCAGTGGAGGGTGAACACAACTACACACTGAAGGACCCACTGTGTTATTCAAATGAAAAGTGTGTGTTTGATGTGAAAGTGAGTCCACCTGTTTCCTTCACCTGTGTGCACGAGATTAATTCTGCGGTGAACCGTCGCAGTGAGACCTACACCTACAGCCCATCTGGTAAAACATACTGTGAATACACTACAAATTACATTTTCAAAAGTATTTTAATTCCAATGCTGTTATGATGGCATGTTAGATTTTGACACCTAAACATATGTCAATATACCTAAAAACTTTAAAATTATAGATTTTTACTGTGCAGTGTTTAATGAGGTTTCCTTTCAATGGATTAATGGCAGTAATACAGTGGCATGCTAATACTGTCGCATTATTTCATGTTCAGTAATTGTAAAAAGTACATTTAAGCTCAGCCCAGTGACACGAGCACAACGCATTACCAGACGTAGAGTAAGTCAGCATTATTGATTTTTAATTTTATTTCTATTAAAATTATTATAACTTTACTAGCCATATGGTCACATCGAATGTATGTATAATTTAATTTAATAACATCTAGGTAACCCTAATGAAAAATAAATAAACATACTAAAATGTATTTGAAACTTTATACAAAGTATACTACAAATACATTTATATTTATGTACTTAATATCCTGCAATTGTACTTTTAGTATACTAAATTAATATACTAAAATTCTGCTTAATTGGAAGACTAATTTTGTACTAACGCACTTTAGTTATCCGGAAAGAGTGCTGAGGTCCAACTGAAGCTGTACTTAAGTTTATTTGATTGTGCTAAAGTGGAACTATACTTTAGGTACACTTTAAATATCTTGCACTCTAAAAATGCTGGGTTGTTTCAACCCAAATTTGGGTCAAATATGGACAAACCCAAATGTTGGGTTAAAAATGTCATTAATAAATTTACAGTTGAAAGTGAAAGTTGAAGTTGGGTTAAAATTTTAAATTACATTTTTAACCCAACATTTGGGTTTGTCCATATTTGACCCAAATTTGGGTTGAAACAACCCAGCATTTTTTAGAGTGTGCATTTAAAAAATTATATTATACAGTGATCATACTATCCTTGATAAAAGTGATGTTAAAACACATTTTAGGCTTAATATTAAGAAATGTGCATTGTGCAATAAAGAAGTACTCCAAATAAAGTTTAATTATAATATTTTTATCAGTAAGTATCAAGCGATATGTCAGTAAATATGTTAATGGATTTGTACTTGAAATAAATGTATTTTAAATGTAAAAAGTTTTTTTCACTAGGGTAGTCACTTAATTTTTTCTTGTAACAGCTATAAATACAGCTTTTCAAAATTGTAAAAAAAAAAATAATAATAATTCTTTATTAAGCTTATTAACACCCCCATCATGAGCGTGTTGTATTACAACACACAGAGTAAGTCAGCAGATTTGCTGTTGCACTAATGCATAATTTTTGGTTAAAAGTAAGAACTGATTCTATTTATTTGTTTATTTCTAAATGAAATTAATAAGCATTAATCACCATTTATGGACACATCAACTACAGCGAGATCTATACAGTCTGGTAAAACATAAACATACAAATGGCACTTTCATTAAGGATAAAAGAAGTATTGTAATCCTAATGCCTATTACTTGCATGTTAGATCCAGGCGCTTTGAAATAAATCTCATACTGTATATATGTGCCCTGAAGACCTGGGAGTGTAAATGTATATTTTTTCTATTACAGAAAAGTCATGAATTTCTCATGTTTTTTTCATGGGAACTGTTCCAAAACCACATGTTTTCCATATGCAAAGTATGTTTCACATGTGACCACATATGTTTTTGCTCATGTGAAATTCATGTGTTTTTGCTGGTCCCTGTGTTTGCTTTCAGATTTTCCTGCAGTCTTGGATCAGCATGAGGAAGGAGTATCTTCATTCTATATTGGCTTTTTCTCCTTCATTGTTGTTGGTCTCGTCATCATGACAGCTGCAGTGATCATGGCCACCTTTAAGAGCAATGCTAAAGGTGTGCATTTCACCCAAACAACTAATAATTCTGATCTATTAATTTGCACATGCATATAAAACTACTGTATACATAATTTATGTTGTAGCACTTGGTTTCAGAAAAGCTCAAAAGAACAAGAAAACATCTCAAAAGCGTTTTTTTTGTCACAAGAAAAAGATATTAAACCTATTATAGAACAACAAAAAAAGTTTGCAACTCATTTCAATATTGTCACATACATGGAGTTTGTCGTTTATTTAGCTGTGTGTTTTGCCACATTCATGCTGCTGTACACAACACAATATTAAACTGTTGCATCAAATCAGAAACAACATAAGCAGAATGCATTTGTTTTTCAACAGGTTCAAAGACTACTGGAGCAGCTAATGACTATACGGATGTATAAGAAGACATCAGAGTTTCTGAAGCAATTAATCAATTCAGATTAATCAATTTTTTTGCATGCTGAACGAAGAATACTCTTTCAACATTCAAGTAAAATCCTTATTTTATATACAGCATCTCACAACAGTGAGAACACCCCTCACATTTCAGAAAACATTTTATATCTTCTCAAGGGACAATACTATAGAAGTGAAACGTGGATATATTTTAGAGAAGTCAATGTGCTGCTTGTTTAGCAGTATACATTTACTGTCCTCTGAAAATAACTCAACATACAGCCATTATTGTCAAAATAGCTGGAAAGAAAAGTGAGTACACTCTAAGTGAACATGTCAAAACTGTGTCCAAAGTGTCAATATTTTGTGTGAGCACATTGTTATCTAGCACTGCCTTAATCCTCCTGGGCATGGAGTTCACCAGAGCTGGACAGGGTGTTGCTGAGATCCTCTTCCACTCCTCCATAATGACATCATGGAGCTGCTGGATGTTAGACACAGGACACTTCTCCTTCCGCTTGAGGACGCCCCACAGCAGTTCAATAGGGTTCAGGTCTGGAGACATACTTGGCCACTCCATCACCTTCAGCTTCCTCAGCAAGGCAGTTGTCATCTTGGCGGTGTGTTTGGGGCCGTTATCATGCCGTTCGGCCCAGTTTCTGAAGGGAGGGCATCATGTTCTGCTTCAGAATGTCACAGTAAATGTTGGAATCCATGTTTCCCTCAATGAAGCGCAGCTCCCCAGTAACAGGGACAACATTCTTGTGAGCCAGCTTCAGAAGAGTCTTCCTTCTGGGACGACGGCCATGCAAACCGACTTGTTGCAGTGTGTGGCGTTTGGTCTGAGCACTGACAAGCTGACCTTCCGCTTCTGCAACCTCTAAAGCAATGCTGGCACGATCATGCGTCTGTTTTTTGAAGCCAGCTTCTGCACCTGACGCTCACCACAAGGACTCAACTTCTTTGATTGACCCTCGCGAGGCCTGTAACGAGTGGACCCGTCTTGGAAAACCTCTGTATGACGCTGGCCACTACTGTAACTCAGTTTCAGGGTGTTGCCAATCTTCTTATAGCCTTGGCCATCTTTGTGGAGAGCAACAATTCTAATTCTCAAATTCTTAGAGAGTTCTTTGCCATGTTGAACATCCAGTGGTCAGTATGAGAGAATTGTACTCAAAGCACAAATTTGAACTGCTTTAATACAAGATACACAAATTTGTATGGTCCTGTCAAGCAGACAAAAACATGAACATGATGAATAGGACGCATGTTAAACGACGTACAGCTATTATCACTTAGGGTGTACTCACTTTTGTTGCCAGCTATTTTGACAATAATGGCTGTATGCAATGTTCCCTCTAATGTTTTTTTCTTGGTGAGCAAAACTTTTTTCTAATGGGCGGACATTTTTCGCCACCTGAGCAAAAATATTCTTTATACCTGACCTGTACACCATAAACACAATGGTTTCAACATTCAGTTGTAACTTTTAACTTGATTTTGCCATTTCTATTTTATTTGACCCTTGATGTAACTTATTGGTATTAAATCATATTTTCGAAAAACAAGCAGTTAATTAAAGCTGCAGTCCGGAACTTTTCCTCTTTGTCGCCATCTCTGTTCGAAATCTGTAACTGCAGTGATTCGCAGAATTATTATATTTACGTGAGTTGTAAATCGGCATGAAACAGCGCGGATGAACACAGTGCTTTGAGGCGAGTGCTGCTGTCAGTCACCACGCTGTGTGGATACTGTCATACAGAATCACAGATTCACTTTTTGAAAGTTTGACCAACATAAGAATTTTCATAAGAAAATGTCTTCTGAACAAGTAAGTAAAATCCATTTTTGTTCTGACCAACTAAGGGGGAAAAAGCATTCGACATGATAAGCTTCGTTAGATTTAATCAACGTGATTTACAGCAACCGTGCAAATTATAGCCTACTTTGTTCTCAAATTGTTCATGTTAAAAACATCAGCATTGCGTGACTAATGTTAAATTTAATGTGTTTTATGGTTAGCAGCTACCTCTGTAGTTCAGAATTCATATTCTCCATAATAGCAAAACGAGAAAGGCACAACAAAGGAAACTCCATAACTGTGTGAATTAAGAAAACGTACTGTTGCACGATTGAACTATTGAAATGTCGTACTTGTTCAGCAGAAAAAAGCCGTCTCTTCTTCCGTTTTGAACCCCTTCAAAACACGGAGTTCAAGCACTTTTCAAAAGCCCCGCCGATGTTTAAATCCTTGTGTTCGCATGAGACAGTTTCTTTCTCTTTCTCTAGCCACCTTAAATCCGAAGTACGAAGTCTTTTGGGTTTTATAACTGCTGAATCTCCAGTTGACACTGATGATTGTTGTTTGGATCTTTCTGGATGCCATAAGTTTAATCATGTAAAGTGCTGCGAGAAAAGCCTATACATCTAAACATCTCGTCACGCGCAGTATAGCCGGCTAGCCGAAACTTCTTCTTTATGTGTACGGGTGTGACGTCATGACGCAAAGACATGCTCGAATTTCCCGCGGAAACCCACCAGTACCACTGGAATTAAAATCATTATTACAAGCTAACCGTTTTGAATCTAGCTATGGCAAGCAGATAGTTTTGACCACTGGCAGAATAAGTTTTTTTTTTAATATAATTATTTTGGATTATTTTTAACTTAAAAAAGTTACGGACTGGAGCTTTAAGAAGTCACTAAATGAAGCACATTTTAGGTTACCTGATATTTTTTTACAGTGCTGTTAACTGTACAGTCTTTACCAAGAAATCCTATGAAAAATAATTGACAAAATCTTCTGCAGGACAGCTCAATTCTTTACAATAATAGAATGAAAGAAAAGTAAGCTGTTACACTGAGATGGTTTGGGAAAACCATAAAGTGTTTTTGTACAGTCAATTAATTGTGTACAGGAAGCATTAAACCATCAAAGTTAAATGATTCTTTATTGCTTATGAATTTAAAATATTTTCTTTAGCAGGGGGTTTCAAACTTTTTAATGGCAAGGAGCCCTAAACAATACCTTTGTGAGATTCTTTATTTAGGCTTATAATATAATAAAATATAGGCATAATATAATATAATATAAAAAAAACGAATTGAAGTATTTGAAGTGATATAATATATCAGTTTAAATGCTTCAATTTGTTTACATATTATATTATTATTATATGAAAACAAACTGAAGCATTTAAATAGATCTAATAGCTAAATATTTTCAAGAAAAGTGAATGTGAACTCTTTTATAATCTAACCATCCCTGAAACTCCCGCACACACAAAAACATATTTAAACTAATGATGTATGTTGAGTTTGCACGCGGGTGGGTGTTACCGTTATTGTTACCGTTCTATGTCCATCAACCGTTATTTCCACCACTTTAATCAAACCACTCTTCTTTAAAACATTATGATGTTATTTTATTTCACATGTCTTTGCGTTTCTCGTTGCCTCTCGTATGGGCTCTATGCAAGGCGGTATTTCCGGTGAAGGTCTAAGGATGCTGGATTACTTCCGCCGATCGTAGAGTCCAATGCTATACCGAGAGTTTATATTGGCTTTTATACTCTATGGTTATACTAAAGAAACGTTAGTCACAAAAACAGACAAAATAGACACCCCTCATTTTGATTATGCTTCTTTGTTTATTATATTAAATAAACATAACTATATATAAAATTACATCTAAACGTATTAAAGTTTCGTTTCAAAGACGGGAGGACAGTAAATTTTGAAGACTCTGCCATAATCCCGTTTTCCTCGGTTTTCCTCCGCTTTAATCTCCCCAACCGGAAACTGAAGAGCAGCCTTGCGTCAAATGCGGAACTTATGCGTGCATATAGCCTATTGAGCTATTTGGTCCGCACACAAGACTCACTGCCAATCACACGCGCTCACATCGTTCTCTTTCTATGAAACCTGTAAACTGCATTCACCAGTTTTCACTCTCCCCTTTCACTCTCACTCACTTTCACTCACCCCTGTGAAGTCAAAACAATACATAATCCTTCTGACCCACAATACATAATCCCCCCCCCCCCCCCCCCCCCCCCCATCCTCCTGTGTGCAATCTTATGACATTGTTTTATCTCCTGTCCTTTCTTAAATTAAATCTTTAATTTCATCATATTAACATCTATCTGCTTTCTAACATAAATTAACACAGAATTTTCTTCAAATTTGAATCACATTTTTAAAAACACCTTCTCAGTAGGCATCCACAGTTACATGTTAAATGACCCTGCCCAATGTTTGGTCACTTTGAGCTTCCAAACGACTCCAACTCACCGCACACTCCCGAAGCAGTGTGTCCTAATCAGAAATGTAAACAGATAAGCAGTTCTCTGCCTTCCTTTGACCATCCACCAGTGGCTGATCCAATCACAATATTCAAATCATAATCCTCATCATTACCATTATCATTTCAATAAATTGTTTTATCACTAAAGTGTAGAATTTTTCCCATTCTACTTGATAAGAACCTTTCATATCATTTCAACTTAGGCCCCGTCCACACTACTGCGTTTTCGTTTAAAAACGGAGACCTTTTGCTACGTTTGCACCTCCCGTCCACACTAAAACGGGAAAAACGAAGACCTAAAACGGAGAAGTTTAGAAACGCTGCAGCTCCGGTTTGCGTTTTGAATCTCCGGAGGGCGTTTTAGTGAAGACGGGATAAAACGGAGGACTTTAGAAACGCTGACGCAGAGGCTCACGCTCAGCTCTATGATTGGGTGTCATCAGTCATGACGTGTCCTTCCCTGATTCGTCAGCCACCGTTTCCACCGGCACGCGCATGCCCAGTGTTGGTGAATGGTCACGTGATCCGCGTTTTCAGTCGTTTTAATGTGGACGGAGATCAATTCTAATATGCAGATAAAACGCTGGTGTGGACGGAGATCGTATTCGTTTTAATTCTCCGTTTTTAAACGAAAACGCAGTAGTGTGGACGGGGCCTTAGTCTTCCCCCTCAGCATGTAAATGCATGAAGTACCGGAGTCAGCCTATCTCCCCAGTCCTGATCTCATCAGCATAACAGTCTCATTCACATCTTGATGATAATTCAATCAGCCCAATTGATTCATTTAACTTACAAAAGAGAGAACAGGACTTGCAGAACTCTTATCCTTAACAGGCCTTCATCAATGGTTTCATGAATTTTCTACATGCTAATTTTTTCTTTTCTTCTACTTTCTTTCTCTACATGCCAGTTCCTTCATTATCTAACCAGTACATGATTGTTTGCATACAATCCCCACAGACACATTTCTCACACAATAACCTTTGGTTTTTCACTTCCTTCTTCCACCAAATCTCTCACTTACAGTCTACTCACACTCTTTATATGCATTACGAATACAACCACAATAACTGCTTTTCACTTTTTCAAATTTCACTTCATCGGAAAACACTGCTAAAAAATTCATCATTCACAACATAACTCAAAACACACAAAGATTTACAAGCATATTCTTTACATATAGTAGAAAGTAAATCAGTGTATGTGTGTGTGTGTGTTAGTAAAAAAATAATTCCACTTCCCTGTCTTGCGGACACTCGCTTTCCGTTCCGAACCAGACCCTCTCCTGCTCTCCGTTCCTCCCTTTTCAATCCGACTTCAAATTCGGACACGCATTGCTCCAATGCCCGTCTCTCTTGCACAATCTGCATACGGTACAGTCTCTGGTTGTTTGTAGCACACACAAAGCACCGCCATTTCTTTCCCTTCTTTTGTTTAGTTTTAGGCTTGTTTGTTTCACATTGCACAACTGCCATTTCGGGTTGTTTTCGGTCTGAGGTCTGTTTTGCTGCTTCTGCCGCTGCTCGCGCTTGTGCGTCTCGTGCTGGTCTTCGGATCGGAGAGCAGTCGAGATCGTGG